GGGGGGCATTGTCACTGTTCCTGGGTGCTGGTTACTGGCCTGCCCCTGAGGGTCCCCTTGGTGCATATCAGGCTGATCACTGCCCCCCTGCCAGCTGCCAGTGGCAATGGATGAACAAAGGAGGGCTGGTTGGTAATCATGACTGTTTATTCAAGTCTCACAGCATTAGTGATAGAGAAATCACTAAGGGTGGAAATAGCAATTACACATAGGGGTGGCTGAACATTATCAGAAACAATGAACAGAGTTAAAGCCCTTCCTTCAGGGGAAGTTCTTTTAGGAGATCCACCCAAGGACAAAATCTCATGTAAGTGCTCAGCACTCTAGAGTCCTGCTCGGAGAACTGCCCGAGGGTGGAATTCCATGTAAGGGTGCATTGCTTTCTCCTTTCCTTAGCCAGTATCCATTGAAACAGACATCTTAAATTTATTTCTTGGTAATATTTCTAGTCATTTTATATGGACACAGTAAGAGACATAGTAAGCTTAAAGGGTGACTCTTCTGGGGACATCTCCCTATATATCCCAGACTAGGTTAGTCTTTCCTAACCCTAGCAGTGTCTTTTTCAGTGACTTCTTTTTGGGTCATGTCAGAGTTTGTTCGATGACTGTGCTCTTAACTTTTTATACTTCTTACGGTGCTTAGCCTATCCCTTTTTGATCCCAGGGTAGCTTATAGCTTGCCCTGGGTCCATCTAAGCCCTTCGCCAGGACCCTCCTTTTGGGGGGTATTAGGAAGTAAGCCAGTTGAGACTTGCGTAAATATGATGGATACCCACAAGTAAATATTATTCGAAGTCAATTATCTTCCATGTTACAAAACCATAGCATTAACTGTCTTCATGTGCTGATATAATTGCTCTAAGGTAAACTATGCAAAGGACAAAAAGGAAAGAGAAAAGTAATATTTCACTAATATACACAGACTCCAAAGCCCTCAGAAGAATTTGACTTTATAAGCCACATGGTCTGATTTGGAGATATTAGTTATTAACAACTAGGGGAAGAAGAGCACAAAGGAGAAGTTACAGATAAACACACAGGTTTGGGAGTGCCTGTGGAATTGGGTGTGCCTTGGGACCACTATGATGGGGGTAACTCAATAAATCTAATCTCCGTATGGGAGGTGGGGGAGAAAGAACAAACCACCCTTAACCCTAAAATGCTTAGGGCTGTAATCCAACAGGGGACCACACCCACTGGTGCTCAGAGCTTACTCAAAGACCATAGGGGGTGCCAGGGACTGAAACTCCCTGTTGGCTGCATGCAAGGCAAGTTTCTTATTCATGGTACTATCTCTCTCGTACCCCTAGGGTTTTTTTCTTTTAATTTTTAATTAGATTGTCTGTTCTCTTGAGGTTGTGACATACTCAGCCTCTTATACCTGTTATTATGGCTGAGGTAGAACTTAGAAGTTACAGTTTTATTTTTTCCTGAGTAATATTTCAGAAATAAAAATAAGAGAGCTAGTACTGGAGCTCTTGTCATCTTGGCCAAGGGCTAAAGTCATTGCAGTGTCTTAATAGTAATTTTCAAGAAGTTTGAAACTTTTTTTTTTTTTGCTTTTTTGGGTCACACCCGGCGATGCTCAGGGGTTACTCCTGGCTCTGCACTCAGGAATTACTCCTGGCAGTGCTCAGGGGACCATATGGGATGCTGGGAATCAAACCCAGATCAGCCGCGTGCAAGGCAAACACTCTACCTGCTGTACTATCGCTCCAGCCCCTCAAAACATGGTTTTTCGGCAAACAATAATAAATATTAAATCTATGTTAAATCCAAGTCATTAATGAGATAAATAATAGAATGACTAAGGGATTTGAGAAAACATTGGGAGGAACTAGGTAATTTTTGAATAACAAAGAATGCCAGGATGTGAGTCTTGGTTAGACCCAGTATTGGTTAGTGTCCTATAATGTTACAAAACTAGTATATTTTTCTTTTTTGAAATGATATAAAACTATAGGTTAATGTGCAACTTCACCACAGCTGACCTTTAAGCATAGTGAATGGTAAATGAAAGAATCTACATGTCTTTTGGTAATTAAGTAATTTGAGGGTGAATTCATTGAATTTTATACCAATAGAATATTCAGAGCACTCAATGCATTTTTTGACCTTATTCCTATATTTGGATTGTTTTTCTCACAGTCAGTTTTTGATGCTTTTCTTGTAATTGATTTTTGATGCAGTTTGGGATGCAGTTCTTGAAGCAGTTTTATGGCCTGAGATTTCTCTTTTTTTTTTTCCCTTTTGGCTAGTGTTGGTGGCTGGCCTACATATCTGCAAGGTGCAGCTCTTTGCAAGTTTCATGTGAACTCTTTATGATACTGTTTTGTTTTAATTTATTAAGGGGGTATGGGGCCCGACCTGGAAGTGCTCAAGAGCTACTCCTGACTGCTAGAGGTGCTGGGGGAACCATACCTGGTATTGGGTGTTGAACCGGGGTCAGTTGCCTACAAAACAAGTACTTTAACCCCTGTACTTTTTCTCTGACTTAGTGATGTTTGAATCGCTTGTTTCCTCCTGTGATACTAAGTTGAGTTCCTTATCGTCACGTCTGTCTTTAATCCATGAGGGTTCCCATATCCCTCACAATTGCTTAACATGCCGGCAGAAAAGAGGCGATTGGACAAGGCTGAATTACACAGACCTGAGCAAATGACTCACTTTGCTGTCCTGGCTTTCACCATGTCTCTGCCACTTCCCACATACGTGATCTTGAATAAGTTGGTTTGTTTTCTTTTTATTTCTATGCCATACCAGCGGTGCTCACTCGTGAGGGGACTTTAAGGATTTGTATGTGGTGCCAGAAATTGAACCCGGGTCAGTTGCATGCAAGATATGTGCCTTATGGCATACAATCTCTCCAGTTCCAAAGTCCTTTTACTTTGAAACCTCCAGTTTTGTCTTCCACAGTGGGTTGATGTATGGTGTTTACTTTGTAGGAGTACTTTGAGGACTACAAGATTAAATTAGTGCCTGTCACATAGTAAGTTTTCAGTTGAAGTTTCTTTCACGCGCTCTCATACTGCATACTAGACATTCTCTGCATGGGTTGCAGAGCTACATGCACTAAAGAATTAGGGAAGAACCACTGGAAAGATAGTCTGCAGCAGGTCCGGGTGATCCCGAGTGCAGAGACAGGAGCAAGTCCTGAACATTGCAGGGTGTTTGTCCCCAACCCCTATCCCCACATCACCACCAAATGCAGCTTAAAAGTAGGGACAATTGGCATTCAGTACCTTAGCATCCTAGTGGGGAGAGATGGTAGCATAGTTTATAGTAAGTGAGGTGTCTGGCAGCTATGTATTTTGAGACAGTAGTTGCTTATTGTTCGATGTGGCTTGATACTAAACACATATTTTGACTGATTGACTGATTGATACTCAGGCCCCTTCTGGAGGTGTTTTTTTGTTTGTTTGTTTTTTTCCACCTGGCCAGTAATTCAGTGCAGAGTCCTGAGGATGCTGTGCCACTCGGAGCTTGCAGTTGCTGGGGACCATCAAGGCCTCCCTGGATTTATCTGGGTCCCTCTAGGGACTCTGGCAAAACTCAGAGAAACCATGTGGTGCCAGGGACCAAACAAACTGGGACCAGCTTCCCCTTCATTCCTGTATTCTCTCTGGCTCCTAAAAATGTTTTCAAGTGCGGAGTAAGTGTGGATTGGCTGGGTCTTCTTCCTGTTGCAAAAGTTGTCACCTGATTATTGACAACATGTTTTGCTTATGACTTTACTTAGCATCCACTAGTTTGTCAAGTTGGTTCTTGTTTTTTTTTCGGGGGGTGGCGTGTGGTAGGACAGAGGGTATATGTACCAGCATTCAGAGGTTACTCTTGGTTGTGGGGAAAAATGTGCAGTACTGGGGATCAAACTCCTGCACGCAAAAGATATGCTTGCTCTCTTTGCGTCAGTTCCCTGGCCTGCCGTTGGATTTTTGAACAAAAAAAAAAAAAAAGCAAGTTTGTTCAAATTAGGTGCTAGTGGAATCTGAAGGATCATCACAGTCGTTTCTCCTGCTTTTGCTGGCAGGACTGTTGAGGTTGGAAGTCTCAAGTTTTGTTACTGGTAATACTTTTTAAGTTTTGTAGAAAGGAACCTGACTTTCACAGATTCTTTCATATGAAGGTTGCTAGGTTTAAAACACGGTCTCAGTTCACTATGTGTTAACAATAGAGGTTCTTACTGATAATTGGAACAGGGAGGGAGATACACCAAAATTTAGCTGTGGTTATGGTTATTTTTATTTTACTGTTTATGCTTTTTATGTACTCTTGTCTATTTAATGTCCTTTTCTCATTGATATACTTTACCTAATGCATTTCTACAACAAATATTTATTGCTTTTATAATCAGAAAAAACAATAAGTGCTATTAAAAACAAATTTATTGGAAATGTCTAGATGTGTGATAATATGCTTATTGATCAGTTTTGTGTACATAAGATGGTTGCCAGCAGAATAATGGTTCATTATTTTATTTGTGCCAGTAAAATGGTGGTACAGCTTATCGTGCAATTAGATATGGTTAGATAGGTCTTTTTAAATCTGAAGTTCTTCCTTCCTTCCTTCCTTCCTTCCTTCCTTCCTCCTCCTCCTCCTCCTCTTCCTTCCTTCCTTCCTTCCTTCCTTCCTCCCTTCCTTCCTCCCTCCCTCCCTCCTCCTCCTCCTCTTCCTCCTCCTCCTTCCTTCCTTCCTTCCTTCCTTCCTTCCTTCCTTCCTTCCTCCCTCCCTCCCTCCCTCCTCCCCTTCCTTCCTTCCTCCCTCCCTCCCTCCCTCCCTCCCTCCCTCCTCCCCTTCCTTCCTTCCTTCCTTCCTTCCTTCCTCCCTCCCTCCCTCCCTCCCTCCCTCCCTCCTTCCCTTTTCTTCCTTCCTTCCTTCCTTCCTTCCTTCCTTCCTTCCTTCCTTCCTTCCTTCCTTCCTTCCTTCCTTCCTTCCTTCCTTCCCATCCAGATGTGTGTACTCAGGGCTTACTTACTACTGGCTCTGCATTCAAGATTCAAGGCCAGATTGTTCACCCAGGAATCCTGTAAAGCAGGGAGGTCACCTTAGGGTCGACCTTTACCAGCTGAAAAATTCATCTCACATTAGCAGTGAGGATTTAGGCGTCACCCCAACCATTATTTTCCTTATTCATTAGTTTAAGGCATAAAGCTGAGTCTTGACAGGGTTCAAGGGACATTGATGGGTCCAACCTGGGTTAACTGCATGCAAGGCAAGCGGATTATCCACTGAACTATCTCTCTGAACCAGTGCTTTATATTTAGTGGAGTAGGTTGTCATCCATTGTGGACCATGGAAGCTGCTGCTCCCATTTCTGGGCTGCTTGCCTACAAGGGATGTCACCTGTTCTGGCCAAGCTAGGGGCTTGCCCCGCTGACTGGTACTCACCAACTGTTGTAGCCACAGTGCCTTAGCTGTTATGCTTCTACACCTCCTAGCCATCCAGACTTCTGTGGTTCAAACTAGGCCACATCTGTTATGGGTCCCGTGACCTTCAAAACCTAGACAGAAAGAAATGTAAAACACATTTTTAATCTCTGTGCACTATGCAGATACGTCAGAGTGGAGCACTTAATTAGGAATGTTTTTCTAAATTGTTTAAAAAGACTTTTCATTTTCCTTGTTCATCAGTAGCCAGTGATGATTTGAACAAATTAGTGTTGCTTAGAATATACTGTCCATCATTTGCATCTGATTCCAGAAAGATTTTGTTTAAAAATTCCCTTTGGGAGCATCACCATAGACCAAGAGAATCATGATCTTAGGGGTATATTTCTACGCCAGCTTTTTAGCATATTGATTTTGGCATTTTGGATTGTGTATCTCAAAGGACAGCACTTGTGTGTGCTATCTCTCATTCTCTCTCTCTCTCTAATTCTCTGCCTGTCTCTGTCTCTCTTTCCCTCCTCAGATGAGTAATCCTATGGGGATACTAGACACTCTACGTATGCCTTGATTTCCTAGAAAGTTTGCTTTTAGTTTTAATTTCTTTGTTAATTTCCTGAAGTCACATTTCCTTGAAAATCTTCTGGTCCCTGGAACAGATCTATATTTTCAGCATGAACCTAGTGTTTCATTTGACTTTTTTTTTTTAAATAATAGTATCTCGCCCTTACAGCAGAGCCTGGCAAGCTCCCCATGATGTATTCAATACGCCAAAAACAGTAACAACAAGTCTCACAATGGAGATGTTACTGGGCCCGCTCGAGCAAATCGATGAACAACGGGAGGACAGTGCCACAGTGCTACAGTGTCTAAAATTAAATCGTTCTCTGAATGTACCCCTAAATTAGTTCCCTTTGAAAAACAGAGTGAGTTCAAAGCCAAGCATTGGGATTTTGTTCCTGTGTTCTTCAGTCCCTAGGTTGCCAATATTTCTGATGCATTTAGGAAACTTGCCAAAACATGGAACTAAATGCCTTTATAAAGGTGCTTTCGCTGAGTTCGAAGTATCTTGGTAGAGAAGGGAAACCTAGAGAACCTGAGTTCCCACAATTTGTTAGGAGTTGGATGGAGAAGTAAAGAGAAGGAAGGGAAAAGAGTTTCCTTGAAGTATTCTAGGTTACTTACATTTTGTACTTGAGGCAGAAGCATTAGTAGGAAATGTGCCCTAAAGTTGGTCAAATGGCCTGTTTTCAAGGTGTTCTATAATATATTTTAGATGTTTTAGGTGGATATTTAATTCTGTACATACAAAAATTATTATCAAGAAAAAAATTTAATGAGATATTTTACAGTCATTGTTTCTAATGGAGTTTTTTAAATCTTGTGTTCTTTTTATAATCAACACATCTCAGTCAAGGGTAGCCCCAAGTGGCCAGCGCTGCTGAATTGAACAGCACCATTGCCCAGGCTTCTGACAGTTTCCAATTCTCAGTAAAAATGTGAACATATGTCTGCGTGAACAGGAATTTTTTTTTTGTTTGTTTCAGAGCAAGTGAATTGTTTTCTCAGCAGTTCATTGGTGTTAGCATAATGCCTTCCTGTGTAGGCTGTGGTGTTAGAATTCTCTTTGCAAGCCCTATAATAATTTTCAGGAATTATCACTTTTATTACAGTATTTTTAGTTGCAACTGGAGAGTTTTTACAGTGGGAACTCTCTCAGTGTAAAGTATCATAAAAGAACAATAGCAAACACACATACTGCTCTTCTGGGACACAGGGTTGGGCGTCTAAGTATACCTCATGGAATTCCTAAGACAGGATGCAGCTTGAACTGGTTATCTAAAAGTGGATCTTTCCTTATTGATACAAGTTGGTCAGTTACTAATACTTAACAAGAAAAAAAAATTGAGCATTTTCAGACCTCAGAATAGCCTGTTAGGTCATACCAGGTAGGAACTGTCTGCTAAGATTGTCTAAGGAGGGTTGTGGCTCAGGGTCACTGTATCAACATGCTCTGTGCTAATAGTGTGTTTGGGTCTTTATATTAAAAGAAAAAAAAAGAAGTCTAGATTTAAACATCTAGATTATGCCCCTTCCTTCTTCTCTTTTCCCCTCCCCTCCCCTCCCCTCCCCTCCCCTCTCCTCCCCTCCTCTGCTAAGACTCTGGTTACCCAAGGGGTTTCCCTGGGTTTGAACCCTGGTCAATGCATGCGAGGTAAGTGCATTGCTCGTTCTTTCAGTCCCATCTGCCAAACACATTTCTGTCTTATAGACCCTCAGAATCACCAGGCAGTGCTCTTGACCTTCATTTCCCCGTGTCTACAGAACGTGGGTTTGAATTTCTCAATCCTGAGCTGTGCAAAGTGACTTTGCTACGGTGCTTAACTTTTCTGAGTCTTGAGAAATGGCATCCCAGAGTTGGTTTACTCCTCAGCATCCTGGTCAGGCTAACAGACAGTGGTGTTCTAGTGGAAGAGCAAACCCCTGGCTCCTGGTCACACCTTGTGCTGAAGAAACTCTTCACTGTGGTTTTGCTGTTTCTTTTAGAAACAGAAGCACTGCAGGAGCAGTTTCAGCATCAAAATTGTTTTTCTGACACTGATGAGCATCATTTCAATACATTTTTTTTCCAGACTATGTCCACCTGGTGCCTGCATTTCTTTCATTGTTTTGTCCTGGGATTGAGTGTTTCTTCATTTTGGATAAAATTATTTTAGCGAGAACTCTCTTTTCAAAGCATCACTCCTTTAAAGACTCCTTCCTGCAGTGTCAAGGGGGAAGTCCTAAATGCATTTCAGAAAGAGCCTCCCCCTTTCTCACAAGCACTGATTCCTGAATAAACCTCATATCATGTATAATTTTTGAAACTCTTAAAATCTACAGCCTTTTGGGCTCCATTGTGTTACGTATGAAAGGATGGATTAACTTGAACATGGCACAAAAGAAAATCCTGAGGTTCTCATCAGCTTCTTCTACCATTCATTGCTCTCACCTTTCCTTGGATTTCACTGACTGATTACACCAAAGTGATATTTAGGAGCAAATGTGTTTAATAAACCTTTGTGAGCAATGCAAAAGAAGTCATTATTTTCAAAAATCCACTCAGGATTTCCGTCTGCAGTCCTGTGGTTTTGCTGCTTGTGTTATACCAATTTGTTCCAGGGTATTTCCTTGCATATGCTGTCTGGTTCTCAAGTGCTGTCTCAGATTTAAAGGGATTTTTAAAAATTTAAACCATTTTGCTTGATAGGGAGTCCCAAAGATGCAAAATTTCCTTTTGTTATTACTCTGTTTACAACATAAAGAATAGAAAGTGTCACTTATTGCCCCTCCCACCCCAAGTTTAATTTACTATATTGCGGAGACATAAAAGGATTTAAATTCAGAGTTGGACAAGGCTCTTTGCAAGTGATTTCATTCAACTTGTTATAAACAAATACGGTTGAAAACAAAAAAGAAATAGTAAACTGAAAGTTTTGGTTTGGGATTTAAGTGTTCTGTAGTTAGAATATTGCATTTCCAGTTGACTCTTTAAATGGATCTTGCAGGGTCAAGGAAGTAACTCAGTGGGACTTTGCACGTGGGAGCCTGGGCTTCATCCCTCAGTACCTTATGGTTCCTGAACACTGCCCAGTGTGGCCCCCAAAGACAAAAACAAAAGCACCAAAAAGGGTTTCTGTATAATCTGTCAAATTCAGAGATTATAGAGAAGGCTCAGCCAAACAAAGAAATTAAAATAAAAAAAAAAAAACCTTCTTACTTAAAGCTGCCTTTTCTTCATCAGAAAAGAACTTTGGGTAAATTGCTCTTTATCCAAAAAAAGTTTTTCCCCATGTAATTAGTTTAAGAAATTGCTTTTAGAACTAGTTAGAGTTGACTTAGATATAAATGCATTTAATGCATTTAGTCATTTTGATGTACTTGTGAAAATTTTATGTGATTAAGAATTTTCAATTTAAATCATCTTATTTGAGATTGTAATAGCCCCTTTAAAGTATTTCTGTTAAGACTCGCATTGTTAGTTGAATTTAATAACTTCTTCAAGAAAAGCCAAATGGAAGATACTTCTGGTGGTATTTTTTCCCCCCTGTAGTTGAAGAGATCAAATCTGTAATGTTCGGGGATATCTGGTTGCAACATTAAAGTGGTTGCCCCGCCAGTTTCTTTTTCTCTCTCTTTATCCCAGTGTTACGGACAAGACTACATTAACTGATGCAGACACAGTGATGGGAGGTCTGTTGTGGAGGGGGAAATAGTTCTGTGGACTTGATATAATGGTGCATGTGGCTATGATTATTGTTGCATTTGGTTAATAATTTCTCATTACTGGCCAGCAGGCATATTTGTAGTTTGTTCCCCCAACCACTCCATTTATTTGTTTTATACGTTTTTGGATCTGGAGCGATAGCACAGCGGGTAGGGCGTCTGCCTTGCACGCAGGCAACATGGCCGACCCAAGTTCGATTCCTCCGCCCCTCTCGGAGAGCCCGGCAAGCTACCGAGAGTATTCGATATGCCAGACACAGTAACAACAAAGTCTCCAATGGAGACGTTACTGGGCCCGCTCGAGCAAATCGATGATCAACGGGAGGGCCTTTACTTTACTTTACTTTACGTTTTTGGATGGAGTATGTTTGGGTTTTTGTATCCCACCTTGTGGTGCTCATTCCTGGCTCTGTGCTCAGAAGTGTCCTCTGGGTGCCGGGGTTCAAACCCATGTCATTACATGTAAAGCAAGCACTTTCCATCCTGCACATACGAT